TTCGAGAGAAAATCGAGAACGATATTTCCTGTTACGAAAATCAACAACAACGACAACAACAAATTTTTTTTTTCGTTACCAACAATCAAATTCTCGCAAAAAACAAAAACTCGTTCCGTCTAAAATTTTAATTAACGCCCAAAGCCAATTATTTCCATTTTTTTTTAAAACAAAAAAATCGATATATATCGAACGTACTTTCCCTCGAGAAGGAGGAAGGGAGAGGAGAGCGAAAGAAAGAAATGAAGAAAAATACAAACAAACAACGAAAAAACATTTTCACACTAATTAATTCCGGACTATGGATGGAATGGCCGCCGTTTTTTTTTTTTTTTGGCCATCGTTGTCAACGTCAGACTATTAAAATTATTTGGCAGATGATTCGTCGCGCCACCGCCATCTTGGCAAAGACATCACAATAAATTATAAAAATATACTTAAATAAATAAATAAATAAAAATAAATTCTTTTTTCTTAATCAATTTTGTGTACTTCCGGTTTTTCAATTATCCCCGTCACCCTCTTATTTTCATGTCCGAATAAAACAATCTCTCTCTCTCTCTCTGTCTTTCTCTCTCTCTCTCTCTCTCTCTCTCTATGTCTTTCTCTCTCTCTCTCTGTCTCTCTCTCTCTCTCTCTCTCTCTCTCTCTCTCTCTCTCTCTCTCTCTCTCTCTCTCTCTCTCTCTCTGTCTTTCTCTCTCTCTCTCTCTGTCTGTCTTTCTCTCTCTCTCTCTCCCTCTGTCTGTCTTTCTCTCTCTCCCTCTGTCTGTCTTTCTCTCTCTCTCTCTGTCTGTCTTTCTCTCTCTCCCTCTGTCTGTCTTTCTCTCTCTCCCTCTGTCTTTCTCTCTCTCTCGTGCGTGTCTTAAATTTCTTCCCATTTTCAAATACGTTCCTTCGTTCGTTCGTTCTTTCGTACGTTCGTCATCATTTTCCGATTTTTCCAGTCTCATTTACAGTCCCCGCCATTTTTAATCGCAAACAAACAAACAAACAAACGATGGGGAAAAAACCTTTTCCTTCGAATTAAGAATTAAAATGAAATCTCTTCTTACCTTGAGATTATGAGCTATTTGACGAATGTAATAAAGATCCAAATCTTGAAGTATTTCGATTTTCCCGTTCGGACCGAATTCGTTATTATCATCATCATCTGACGATAAGACAACGTTCGGAGGACCCGTTATTGACCTTCGCGATTCTTTACCGTAATTTTTACATTTTTTAGATTCTCTCAAACTGAGAGAACCCAGGGGTGGAAAACAAGAAGATTCCATTTCGCCCGCCCCCTCCCCACCCTTCCTGACTAGATAAAAATTTTTTTTGTTAAATTTTCCTTATAAAAAATTTTTTGGGATTTTTCTCACTTTTCCTAAGTCTTCTTTCATTCGACACGTTCGCTTTGTCATTTTCCTCACGCGCGAGATACCCGTAAAAAAAAAAAAAAGTTCACACTCAAAGTACCACGTGAC